AGATTCATTCAATTCTAATACTTTATTTTGTTTAATCTAGTTTTTCTGTACTAGTCTACATTTATTTTTTATTATTTATTTTAAACTTCAATTTCTAATTGTCCCTAATTTGACAAGTAATATTAAATTTAATGTAAATATGTATTTACATTCTATAAACAAATAAGAAAATACCAACAATATTATTAAATAACAATATTTGAAGTTTGAACTTTTATTGATTTCGTTAAAGAGAGCGATTAACAATTGCAAAGTTTTATTTTCCTGTAGTAACAAGTGCGGTAATCACCGATTGACAAGTGAGTGTTTGTTACAGTAGTTTTTCATTACTCGTATTTTAAAATAAGCACAGTAGTAGCACCGTTGATGAGAGCATTATTTATTTAAAACTTCTATTAAAGGATGGTTTTGTTAATAAATGGTTTTTAAATGATGAAAGAATTTTTTTCTTTATTCATCAAATCAATAATTTTAATGGAGTGGAGCAAATCAGTGGTTAATAAAAAAGTGAATAGAAGAAATGGATTTTTAAAAACACTTCTTACAAGATATAATAAATTGCCTTTGTATAAGAGATATTTTTCTTCGGAAATTTGTAGAAATATTAGTGAAAATTTAGTAATAACAAATATTTTTCACCCGCTTTGCACACTTTGGAGAATTTGGATGTGTCATATTGCCGGGTGGAGAGTAAAGGTGGTCGTTGTTCTATTATTTACACGTTTTAATCTGCGTTTATCCGGCGAATATCGCGGCTAGATAAATTCGCGGTGATAAAACAGTTTTTACCAGTGTAAATTGTGGCGCATTTGTTTAGAAAGTGCGGTATGTTGTGCCGTTGGCTGATAATAAATTCATACTTTAAAATTCAAACACATATATAATAAACGAATGAGCATTGTAAAAACAATAAATTAATTCAAAAGCACATCCAAACGCAAAACATGCGCTGTTATATATCACAAGCTCACAAATTGGATTATGGGCCACCTATAAATAAAAGCTGCTTCTGAACGGGCTTTTATATTCTCGACCAGCGGACAGTCTCATAACGCATACCTTTTTTAATGAAATTAGTTTTGGTCCGCTTAGGATTTAACACTGGGGTGGATTTTTTCCGGGAGTGTTTTTCCTAGATAAGTGAGTTGTAAATATAAATTCTAGTGTCAGACGATGAAAGAGTTGAAGCTGCTGTTGTCACCCAGGGGTGCGCTAATCTACGTTTATCCGCCATAATCCGGCTGCAATCACCACACTATTATGCCGAGTAAAGGCACATTTCTCTTCCCGACACACGGAAACATTTAACAATTGTTGATATTTGGGTAATTTTTTGAGGGCAAAGGTTACTACTAAAGCCATTATGCTTTATATACGACCACTCGGAGACTCCACACCAATCGGACCGCTCTTACAACATTCTTTATTTCACAACCTATTTATTCTCTCCAATTCCTGCTAACTCATTGTCCGTTCGTTTTGTTCTCCGGGGCCAATGGGAATTTTTCGATTTCTCAGACAAAGTTTTCATTATAGTTCCATTTAGTTGCGTTTTTGTCCCCAGACGCTAATATCAAATCAAAATCTCGGTGCTTTGCGATGCAAAATCGTTATTCCGCATAAAAATCATGTTTCGAATATTTAAAATGCTCGCCATTTTCGCTTTAACACTTGCTAATTCGTTATGCACCCTCTCTACTTTGTCTTTGCTCCGAAATAATCCAGTTTGACTAACTTTTTGCTCGTTTTTCAGCCCTCCTAATTTTCTTCTCCCTCCTCTCAGTACCGATGTTATCTGAAAGACGGACTTTTTACTGCCAAGACTCTAATTAAAAAAACTCACTATTCTAGTTGATTTTGACTTGACTTTTTTGAATAAACTTCCAACCACTAATTTCCACTGTTCAGTTTCAGGTAATGAATTCGTTTGACTGCGGCAATTTCCACATAATTGCTTTTTTTTAATTTTGCTCCGACACACGCTCGTTTTATTACCGATTTTTTAATCTACACAGAAATTAATACTGAATTCAAATTTTATTCAAACGCGACAACAAAAATCATTAATCATCTGTATTTAACTAAATAACGTGACAGCGAAATTTTAATCACAACTTATTACCGAATTTTCAACAACATCCATTTTCTAACTAAGAACCGCTTATTCTAAATTACCTCTGGACTTTATGAAGTTATTACCTTTACCTAGAGCTTCAATTAACTCGAAATATTGCTACATTTTTTAGTCCCTCTCATTTTGCGCATATTACGCTGTAAGTCAAAATAATGGCCAGTATTTTTGTTCCTTCGTTACTTCGGTCTCCAGCGGCTGTCTTATTACATGATTTAATTACTTCATTTTACATCCCTGTTCCAACATAACTTGTACTTTATTCAAATTATTGCAATAAGACATCAAACATGAATCATAAATTACCAACCTCTTCCCTTTTTCATTTTTATTAAATTCATTGGCAGATAATTTCAAACAATGAGAACTTTGCATTTTTCGAACGCGGCGGGTTTTAATCATAGAATTATCGCGTTCAAACAACGTATCAGGGTAATTTTTAATTTGATATTTATTAAAACGTTAATTAAAACCGACATTTATATTCCGGTTGCATAAATGCATTGCGATAACATTGCTGATTAATTCCAGCCATCAGCCGAACGGTTCGAGTCAAAATTAAATTAAAATTAATTTAACAACCTTAGAGATAATTAAAACCGCGTTGTGATTGGTGGAACAGCAAACTATTTGCGTGAAGATCTGAGACAATAGTCCGAGATAAAACGTATTTATGTGCCATTTGGTCATTGTTCTGTCTGAAAATAATTTTGAATTGGTGAAATCGGATCAGGAGCTGGATCAAAAGACCTCATATCGGCCCCGACTTCAATTATTACTAAAACTGATAGCATCGCAAGTGTACCATGTTTAATATCGCCGAGAGGTTTAATATATTGCCTCCCAGTCAAGGACATGCTCTTGTGCGACTCCTCCTACTTATTTAGCGAATTAAATTAAAACTAATAACCGGTTGTTGTAATTTACTATCGCTCTGTCAGCAGTCTGTATTTATTAAATTGTAAGGAAACAAGAAAAGTTGGTGGTTTCTGTCATCTAAAATTAATAATCGCCGGCAGGACTAAGTGCAAAATTAAAAATGCCAAATGAGGAAGAAAATAGATAGAAAGTCGGCGCGACAGCGACAAAGAAGCAACATTTCCTTGTTTTAACGGCAATCTTATCTGGTAATTAGGAGACACTCTGCGACGCTTCCCTCTTTATGTGTTTTTGAAATTAGCCAACGAGTAAGCTCTTATACCTTCAACTTTACAACAAACGCTAAATTTTCACAGATAAAGGGTATGACGTTACAGATAACACCTTTTATGGAGGTTAATGGAAAGATACATGAAAGTAAACAAGTCCCAAGCCTCTCACACAAATCATAAAAATAAAAACAAGGGATTTTGGTTAATTTTGGCACAGGTTTTGGCAAAAAAATGTGCGTGAAGATTGTCGCTCTCAGCAGTGCCTATATTAGTCGCTGAATTGTAGCAACAACGCTGATAATTAACACACCCTGTAACATTTTGTCGCTTAGGGCGGTGATTACTCATAGCAGATTTAATTAAGTGAAAATGATGACGGAATGTCGTCTCAAAAAATTACAACGTACTCTAAACCACAGAAATTCATTATGATGGAAGCAGGGATGTTTATAACTCCCTTGAAACGTTTTTAATTGTAAATAACTGAAATTTTCGATACGTAATTAATTGTAAACTCCCGGGATGGATCTTGATCTTAGACGGGCTTACCTGGGCTTAATGGTAATAAATTTGTAATTAGCCTGGATCGGTTGAGACTAAAGGATGTCAGTTTAATACATTATGTCATATATTATGTGCTTGTGTAATTTTATAACTCAGAGTAAATAGGTGGCTTGCATTGAATGCATTTAAACTTCTTGTTGGAAGGTAATAATAGCAAGAACTTTATCGCTAAGTGAGTGACGGATTAAATTTTCATTTTAAAATTCTAAGATAGTGCTTGTTAATCGATTCACTTTTCTATGAATTGTCGCATTAAAACTTTAAAAGCTCGCAAACGCACTAAAACAGAAAATTAAGCTTAATTGATGCAAAAACACAAGTTCTAGAAAGGTGCTTAGTCCATGACACACCACAGTCTGAGATTTATGAGTACAGCGAAACTCATGAACTTTTCCAACTTTTAACAGATAATAAAATTTTAATCACCCTTTTCTTAATAGAATGATGAATTATAGCAAATACAAACTCAAAACACAATTAATGAATTTTTAGCGTGTTTAATAACAACTTTAAAGTGACAAGCTTTCATACAGTAAATGCCCAAACAACTTGCAATTATCACAAAGTTTGGGACTTTTATAACTAAAACTGAATATTACAATCGGAAATTATATCTTTTTAAATCGTGATATTTTACATTAGTTAATGGACGATGGATTACTTTTACTGTCACACATCGTTCGTACTGCAAAGCTTTTACTTCGAAAATTATGAAAATTAATTTTTAGTTGACAAGCACATTATGTTATCTAAATGGGAGGCTTTCGGACAGGTTTAATAAAGTTTCAAATGAAAACACTCAGTTTTTTATTATTTACACTACAATAAAGTTTATTATCCCCATTTTTCTCTTAGATGAAGGTCAATTTGGAAGAAATTTTGACATTCATGTACGTCTTTATTATCCATAAAACGTTTTTGTGGTCTACTTTTAAATTTACTTTTAAATTGCATATTCGAAATGGGGAGTTTACATCCCTTCGCAATTTCTTCGCTTTGGCATTAACGGTTATTACTCAAACACTTGAGAGGTTGTGCGTAAATAAGGGCTTTTCGTCTAAATGGGGAAAGAAAATACGGTAAGCTACTTAAAACAGCCTAATTAAATTTAGCGCGCCTGTGCCGGTAAAGTCGCTCCCTAATCGAAAAATCAATGACAGTTCTGCGCTGACATTTCTCGTTTTAACCTCAAAAACTTGTAGAAATTACCGTAATGTTTTTCGTATTTGCTTCTAAAACGTGATTAAATGGATAAAGTGGCGAGTCTTTACGTCATCGAAGGCGACTATGGCCTGGTTTCGCTCGACGTCGGTTGCATCGAGTCGATTTTCTACGCCCGGCTCAAGAAACTCTCCGTTGAAATAAAGCTTCAAAACGGTGTTAAATCATGTGCTTTGTACAATGCCCCCAGTTTGAGGTGTGGCAACGTCACCGTGACCCAATTTCCGAAAATACACCTCCATTGGAAAAGCCTCCACGGGGACCTCGACCACAACCTCTCTGCCAAAGATTCCAGCGAGACTCTCGCGCTAATAAATCTAGTCTCAATGAAATTAAAGCCAGTTTTGGAATTCCTCTATTGGGTGGATCAAAGAAATAACGAGGAATTTATCAATCGGTGGTTCATGAAAGCACTGCCTTTTCCCTTCAATTACTCGTACACTAAGCACAAGAAAAACGAAGCGTTGCAATTGATCGAGACGCTGTACCCCCTCGACACCGACATGGAAGTCATCAAAGAATACATCACGAAAACTGCCACTACGTGTTTGTCAACACTTTCCACTCGCCTAGGCAAAGCCAAGTTTTTCTACGGCGATTATCCCCTTACCTTAGACGTTGTGGTATATGCACATATAGCCCCCTTAGTCAAATTACCCTTTCCCACGAATGATATTCCAGCATTGTTGTCAATGTGGCCGAATCTGACCGAGTTTGTTAAAAGAATAGACGCAAAATATTTTCCTGAAATTAAAAGAAACATTAAATATTTGCAACCCGAAAGCAATAATCGGCAAAATGATGATGAGGTTTCCTATCTTTCCGTTTTTATCCTAGTTGTGAGTGCCGCATCCCTAGCAGTGGGATTTGCGGTTAAGAAGGGGCTTATAAAATTGACAAATTTTTATTAGTTATATTTTAAGACTGAACTGACTCAGTACTGCGTATTGCTTGTTAGAAATTATGGTTTTTGTAAAAGTTTTGTAATAAAGTGGTTAGAATAAAGCTGTGTTTTAATTTAAAACTTTGTTAAGTTAAAAAGAATATAGAAATAAAAAATTATTTATAAAAGCTACCGCTACAGATAAAAAGTCGATTTTAATAATTTTTTAAACGGTTTTTATTACATGCAAAAAATACGTCCAATATTATTTAAAAGCCTCTTCGTGTGAAAAAAAAGTTACAGCTTATTTAGCTTGAAATAATACGGTGAAAATTTGCATTTTTAATAAAATAATAAGTAAATCATAAATTTTTGCAAAAACAACTTTTGTTATGGATGAAACAACTGGTGAATTTGTATTTTCAGGTTTTGTAAATCTTTGCATTTATAAAAAAATTGACATGCTGAAAAATACTCAAAAGTTTTTATAGCTTATATTTTTTTCGTAAATCCAAACACGAGAAATATTTTTTAATTAAGCAAATCAATATAGAAGTAGGTATATTTGTATTTATTATCATCAGATTACGACAGTTTTAAATATGGATGCCTTCTGAACTTACTTCATTTAAAATTTTATGTTTGAAGTATTTTCTCCTCGATTTTATCTGATCATAACAACAAAAACATTGGCGAGAAAGTCTTAGCCGGGAACACTTTTTTCAGAATAAAAGTGCTCAGTAATTTTGTGAAAGTGAAAGTTTTTGGTTTATTGACAATTTATATTTATTTTGGACTATCTGCTTTACTCTTTTATCTAAGTATAAAATGTCATGAAAGAGCACGATTTGGCGAATCGCCGCCCAGATTTACGACGGAAAACAATAACATTAGCTGTAAGGGTTTGAGCGGCTTTTACAAAAACAATGTCTTCGAAATAAATTGCTGGTATTTTCCGATCGAGGGTCAGTCAAGAAAAATATGTCGGCACGCGACAGCTAAATTTCAATCTGGCTGGCATCCACAGTAAACAAAGTTGACGAGTAGTTAGCTGCCATTGTTAGTATTCAACTTGGCGAACAAATGTTTAGTTTAGGGCGAAATGGGAAATTTATGTTAAACTCAGCGAGCAGGATGTTGTTGTCCTAAAGTTTTAGCTCTAGTGTATTTTTCCCGAGCCGTCTGTCAGCGCGAAAATAAAGGGCTGGCGAAGATCGCTGTATCGAGCACCTGCGTCGGATGTAACTAAATTATCGAAATTACTCAGTTTGTCAAATTAATGCGACATGTCCTTTATGAATCACCGTTTAGTAACGGGAACACCGGCTAAATAAGCAATTATATCACGAAGCATGCTCCCTACTTCATATTTATACATCCTAATAAAGGAAATAAAAGACGAGGATTACAATTCTAGAGGGAGGTTTCTGATTTAAAAAGGGGGTCGAGATTCAATTAAGTACACAAATTAAACGTCAGCACCATTCTTTCATGTTGATGTAGTACTGGAAAATGTTAATGTTTGCATATTCGATCATCAATAAATCGAACCGAGTCCACTCAAAGTGCAAAAATTTTAAATAGGTCATCTTATTTTAGTTCAGAACAGAGGAATCCTTTTATCTAGTTAATCCCATTAAATTCTCCATAAAGCAAATTTTAAAAGCTTCTAAAAATTACTCAAGTCGGATGATTAAAGGGAAAGTTTTGATTGGGATTGCAAAATGCATCGCGAACTTTTTATATTCATGCTCTCGGATATTTCCCAAGCCGCGACGAGGGCGGTTGAGAAACCATGTATCAAATCTGAAAGATTTAGAGGATTGCAATTCAAATTAGCGATTATTCTTTCTTATGCTTTGCAAAAAATGCAAAACACTAAAATATACAATTCGCCGGAAAGCAATGCAAATTCTGATTTCCGAGAGATAAGATCCCGCGACTACTTCCTCAATTTTACGACGAAACTTGTGTTTTGATTAGGTCACCAAGAAATCGGACCCCTCAGCTCAGAGATGAACGATTTTTGAAACCCCACAACGGAAAAGGCGCAAAACAAGCAGAGGACCGACATAAACATCAAGAAAACTAGCAATTTATATCGAAAAAGTAAATCCAAAAACGCCATAAAAAAATTGAAGTCAATACATCATCAGTTATCACAAAACTTTTTTTTCTTAACTATTAATATTTAATAAAGCTAAAAATGTTCATTAGAGAGTTAATAAACATAAAGAGATTGGAGTTGGTATACCAGTTTCTTATAACATTTTTTTGAAACTTATCTTGAAAACATTTTTTTTCCACTTTTCTCATCTGAAATTGCTGAGTGATGACTATTGATGAAAGAATAATTTTATTTTGTTTATGATTACAAAAACCATAACTCTTTCTCTTTTGTCAATTTTTTCAACTTTTTTAAATTGGAGGTAATTAGAATCTAATTGTGAGGTTACGATTACGAATTAGTTTGTACAGTGACCTAAAATAGTCAAGAAAATAGTACTTTTCTCGACTCATATGTCATTAATTGCATATTGGTAATTGAAATCGTCAGTAAAGTCGACAAGACAGTAAAGTGTGCATGTTGTGGAATGTTGGTTGCAAAGTTTTGAAATTTTTAAAAAAATATAAAGATCTGCGAAGAAACGTAATGTGTACGTCAGTATAAAGTCATTTTTTTATCGACTGGAAGCATGAACACTATATTCATGTTAAAAAAACAACTTTAGTGCTCAGTTATAGGTACAAGTAACAATTATTTTTGTATAAAAAATGACTCTTATACGTAATCATCTGTTATTCTGAAAAGTCACCATTTTATTCTGAAAAATACCATATAATCTAGAATAAGATATTCTGTAACAACTCAGACCCGTAGCTAGTGGGAGGGGGGGGGCAAGTAGGGCCCTACTTTAAATATTCTGAGCCCTTAAAACTTTGCTTTTTTTAAATTTATTTAGAAATAATAACACACAAAATTCATATGTTTGTTAGGAGTCATTTTTCAAAAAAATCCTGGAACAGGTCGACTTTATTTTTTTTTATACATTTTGACCCTATAGTATCATTTATGACGTCATTCGTTTTCGAGTAATGACCTCATTTTTTTGTGTCAACCGACATTTTTTACTACAATTTTAGATTGTACACATCATTATTTTTTTGGTAAGCATAAAAAAATAAGAATAAATCAAAGAAATGCAAAAAAGAAGAAAATAAAATAAAATATCTTAAAAAGTTTGAACTTAGAAAAGAGCTTTATCTTCTTGTTCTTGTTTTATTTTATAAGAGCTGATTGTTTTTTGTTTTTATTTTTTGTGTAATTGTCCTTTATAAAATAAGGCAAAAACAAAAAGATAAAGCTTTTTGTGTTTAATTATCAATATTTTTTAATTAATTTTTTTTTGTTTTAATTTTTTTTTCTTATTAAGATAAAGATGTGTGCTGTTTAAAACAGTGAACAAAAATGACAGTTGTCATTAAAAAAAAATTAAACATAATGTCACAACTCAAAACGAATGACGTCATAAATGTCCCTAAAATGTCAACATAAGCATTTAAAAAAATTAAATTAAAGCGACCTGTTCGAGATTTTTTTTTTTTGAAAAAACTGCAGAACTGTTCTAGCCCTAATAAAAATTTTGGGCGCCCTACTTATTAGCCACGGGCCTGTTAACAAGTTTAGTATATGCGCTCGTGGAACCGTCACACTCACCTTCGGCTCGTGAGACAAACTTTTCCACTTGTGTGGAATATGTCATTTTAAACTACGAGTAGTTCCAGACTAGGACTAAAATTTAGAAACTGTTTATTTTCTTATAATTTACATTGGCAAAAATGACTTCACAACCTTCCAAAGGATGTATTTTTTCGATCATATGGTATTTATAAGGCTGCATTTTATTTTAAATATTTGTTCTAGAAATTGCATTTTTGACGTCTAATACTTCTTAGAACACAAGAAGAAACTTATTCACTTGTCAAGGAGTTTTATTTGTTTGCCTATTTCCAGTTTTGTGTTGCGCTCTTAATTTAATAATAATGTATGAATAAAACGATAAAGCAAACCTATAAACTATTATTTTACTACCTGACGTATTTCATTTCTTTTACGTCTGGAAGTTTTACGGTCGACTTTTTTGAATAAATTACGATTTCATAATGTAATGCGCCGCAAATTTGTTTTAGTTGTTATTGCGTCAAGAGGCAGTTAAATGAAGAAAACGAAAAAAGAGTGTGTCAATGATATTGAGTTGGTATTGAATTTTGTATAGACATATTCGTGAGTGTTTGGTGTTTTCAAGTAGAATAAATAAAAGATCCGCTGGCTGTTTCTTCCGTTCAGCGTGTTGTATCCTGTATCTTTTCTTTATCCTCGCAAACACCATCGACAAGTGGAATAAGCCGGTAACAACATATTTCAATATTTACCGAAGTATGCGTTATTTGCACATTTCAGTCCGGTATTCAGATATTGAAGCTTGGCGACGTGAATATGTTGACATAAAAGAATGTTATATTTGAATCTTATTGACTGTCCACACAACTAAATGAAATTCTTATATATACGAGCAAATTCATTGCCGACAATCCGTCATATTTAAGGCGAACGAGAAATGAATTATTCCGACACCGATGTATACAGAAGGTATTGTGGCAGTTGATGCTTTATGCATAAATGTATGCGCATTTCGCAAAAATCCTATCCTATGGTATTTGCCAGATTCTGACGTCTCTCGTTCTTCACGGGGAGGGAAATTTTTGATACAGGGTAAATTATTATCCACTTTGGGTTTTTATAGTACGTATTTATTACAAATTATTCTATAATCAACTTGTTTTAAACTTTAATATCGATATATTAATCCGATGATTTTTAGAATTATGTATATTTAATAAACAACCCTAGATATCCGAATTTTAAAACTTGGAAAAAAAATTCGAACAATTAGAAATATAAAAATGCAAAAACGTGATTTTGATCAATTATAAATCTCAAACACCTTGGTAAATGTACTGGAACTCAAAAACATTAAACTTGATTAAGTATTTGGCGAAATATTGGGAGAATAACCATAATTTTTTTAAACGCTTACTGTGAATAATATGGAGCGA